TACCGAGCCCCGGAGCTTGGGGTTACCGGCGAGGCGTACAAAGCTGTTTGTTTGTGCTGTGAGAGCAGTCACGGCTACCTCGTTTTGCCTTTTCACACGTTGGGGTGTGTTCCCGCTTTCTTCTGTGTGTACGAAGGAGAAGAACGTTTTTTGCTTGTCATACCGCTGTGCAAATGTGGTGCTTTCTTGTCTGGTTTGACTGTCCATTGCCCCTGGGAAATGGAAAAGCAGTGCCCCGCTGGCATATCGCCCTGAGCTGTTGGTGGCAGTAAGCCCAGCGTGCAAGAGTTGTCTAAAAAGACGTCCTTTTGCCTCAGAGGTGCTGGGTGCGTCAGCCCTGAGCGTCTTCCCTCAGCTCCCGCCTTGCTTCTGTGCCTTTCTGATCGTGGGGAGCAGGTCCTTTTTCTAGTCTGTTAAGGTAGAGTTCAGGGTTTTCTGGAAAGGTAATTATGACACGCTGGTCTAAGGAGAGCCGTTGTTGGACTTCTCTGCTTCTGTCAGGGGAGACCCAAGGCAATGATGGTGCTTTATGATGGCAGGGGGGTAAAATAAGGGTGGATATTGACACAGTGTTTTATTGCTTCAGGAGAGCATAAATGTTCCTTGTTTTTTGAGAACTTGAGACATAGTTGAACTTAAAAATACCTTTTCCTTAAGGAATCCTGTCTGTGTCACTGTTGAGTTAAAAGCAGTGGTAAGTTCAATGCAGCCTTTTTATTCTAGTTAGTTTTTGTCCCTTAAAGGAGGAGGCCCTTATAGCATTATGTAAAGTTAATAATGTAAATACAAGTTCTGCTTGTTCATGTTTTATTTGGAAAACTCAGTCCTCCTAAAAATGAGGTAATATCTTCACCAGGTTTTTCAGCTGCCTCAAGGCCTGATTCCTTCAGAGAAGGAAAGATGCCGTTCTGCAGTGTGCAGGAAACGATTTTCTGCATGACCAGAATTAAAGCAGCTTGTGCCTTTTGAGAACTGATAATACTTGTGACTTTTACGGTACCTACTATGGCATGTCGTCTCCCTTTTCCTGCTGCTACCCCCTCCCAATCATATTGAGCTACTTCCCTGGGTGATCATTTTCCAGTATGGCTTTCCAGACTCAATTATCTCTGACTAAATAATTTAAAGCCTAGTATAAATTTAATTTCATTTTGTCCCACTGGGACAACTGCAGAGAAAGATGGCTAAACAAGCAGGCATGCTGAGAAATCCATTTGGCTTTTGAGCTGATTTGGTATTGACACCAGATACCTTTTAAAGAACTCCAAACATGGGTATGACAGGAGGAATCTGTATTTAAAAAAAAAACCAAACAAAAAAACCAAAACAAACAACACACAAAAAATCAACATAAAACAAACAAGAAACAGTTGAAGACCTTCAGAAGAAATGAAAAGGAATTTTTTTTTAAATAATAACAGCCGATTGGAAGGGAGAAGGAATCAAAGGTGTCTCAAGAGTTTGA